CGTCATATACCTAAATATACACTGGTGGACATAATTATAAAGGCAGTCAAAAAATTACGGAAATCTCAATTTCTCGAGGGTTTCGGAAAACGGTCCCTTTTAGAGATTGTATCCGCATCTCATTGCAAATTGATACACTGAAGTGTTTTTGAAATTCCACGACAAGAATTTTTTTGCGACGATTTTTGCCGAAAAAGCCGTTTGTAAATTGGACATAATTATAAAGGCACTTTGGAGAAAAAGTTCTTAAAATAGGGAATTCGTTACAAAATTGATAAAAACCATTCCAATAACCTTTGCCTGCACCATTCCGTAGAACCTAATGAAAAAGAACGCGGTAGTAGCACAGATTACGGTTTTGCCACAACTTTTTGTTCGGTTAGGTGTGGTGATCAGAAATTCGATTGTTCCGATTTGCGACGCTTGCTTCTCCTGTCGGATTTTGCGTATCATGAAGCCGGAAGCCTTTTCCATCACATTCTGGTTAGCAAGGTCGGCTTAACAACTCGGAAAGCCGGCGCCAAGTCGTCAAAACTTACCCCGAGCGCGGCTTACTCGATGAATTGAAGCTCTGCCGCGTTGAAGATTGCAGTTTCTTTGCTGATTCCGAGGGGTACATCGCTGCAATGCCCGCCTTAACACATTCCGAAGTGGTTCGGAGGAAGTCGCCGCAAAACCGGGATCCACATCCCCCTCAGAAATCAGCCACCAGACTGCAGAAAGTTTTGGTTTCCTTAACCTTGGGATAAGCACAACCGCTCTCTTCCAAGACCCTTGAAACTTCTCAGGGCAGTGCTTATGAGGTGTTTAATGATGGTACGCATCAAAAAGCCAGTTAAAAAAATCCCGGGTAGCCCGGAGAACCTCTCAAATCCCGGGCTCTTACGGTAACATCACCATGGGGCAGGCGTTTTTCCGAAGGCTTGTGAATTAAGCCAATTCCACCAGCACCAAACGTTGCGCAAATGATTGCAGCGTTGTACCCCTCGGAATCAGCAAAGAAACTGCAATCTTCAACGCGGCAGAGCTTCAATTCATCGAGTAAGCCGCGCTCGGGGTAAGTTTTGACGACTTGGCGCCGGCTTTCCGAGTTGTTAAGCCGACCTTGCTAACCAGAATGTGATGGAAAAGGCTTCCGGCTTCATGATACGCAAAATCCGACAGGAGAAGCAAGCGTCGCAAATCGGAACAATCGAATTTCTGATCACCACACCTAACCGAACAAAAAGTTGTGGCAAAACCGTAATCTGTGCTACTACCGCGTTCTTTTTCATTAGGTTCTACGGAATGGTGCAGGCAAAGGTTATTGGAATGGTTTTTATCAATTTTGTAACGAATTCCGAATTTTAAGAACTTTTTCTCCAAAGTGCCTTTATAATTATGTCCAATTTACAAACGGCTTTTTCGGCAAAAATCGTCGCAAAAAAATTTCTTGTCGTGGAATTTCAAAAACACTTCAGTGTATCAATTTGCAATGAGATGCGGATACAATCTCTAAAAGGGACCGTTTTCCGAAACCCTCGAGAAATTGAGATTTCCGAAATTTATTGACTGCCTTTATAATTATGTCCACCAGTGTATAAGTGGTGGATATTTCATTATTGGGATCCTATAAGGGGGCTAGGCCAAAGTTAATGTCCCTTCTAAACACCCCGATAACAAAACTGAAACTCTTTTTCTAGTTGTCCGTATTCGAATCGCTCGCCCGAGAACTACTTGTCGCCTGCTGCGAGTCGCTAGACGCCGCCGCGCTTTTTATCACCGTAATTTTCGTTTCTATTTTTATTTTGCATATCTTTTTTTGCAGAACGGTGTTGATGGCCGCAAGGGCCGCCCGCTTGATGCTCATCTATTCGTGGTGAAGCACCTGCTGATCTTGCGCGAGCAGACGGCACCCTACAGATCAGCAGCTACCCGAAGTGGCCAGAGCACGATCCACTCCCGCGATTTCTCGTTGTCACTCACCAAAGTGCGCGACTCGGCCTCGAACTTCATCTACAACATGTCCACCGATGCGTTTCTGGAGTTGCTTTTTAGCGTGTCGGTGGGTGATTTAGCTATTTCTACAGGGTGGCGGGAAAAAGACAACTTCTGGCTGTCCGGGTAAGTGTACGATTTTTGTACGAGATAGGTATGCATGGAAAGCTCTAGGAAAGGCGGGGAGATTAATTTTCTACGTCTTTTGATTATTTTAATCTACATCAATATATACGCTACAAAAGTATTTAAGCGTTACATCAATATATACGCGCCGGAAACGTTCAAGCCGTTTAAATTTGGACTTGACAAATGAGCGGTCTTGGTTTTGATAGGACTTCCTAAAATCGAGGAAATTTTGCAGAACTTCAAAAATCGGACAATACAGTTCTCCTCGCCTTTCTGTGAGCTTGGGATAGAAAAATCATAAAAATCCGGCACTTCCGCGGGCCTCTATGTTTTATAGGAGGCTTTTTATCTTACTGAATTTTTCAGGCTCCAGTCCAAGTTTGTGAGGTGGTGGGTGATAGTCGTCGTGTGGTCGACAACAGCCTACGAACAAGGTAAATATCCTCCAAAATTACCATGGTTTTCTCTAGGTGCAACCAACTGATCGACTGCTGCGCCGGCTTGCTGGCACGAGATTTTGAGAAATTGGTGGCCGACTTTGAACAAGAGGTATTTTTTCTACGCACAGAATTAATCTTTTCCTAGGCTAAGAAAGAAGGGTTCGCCATCGCTCGCTTCCCTCAATTTTCATCGGAGAAGATCCGGGATTGCGCTGCGGAAACCCAGCGTCGGTTGGGGAAAGAATGGCCGGTGGTGGGAGATTTTTTGCGATATTTTACAAGATCTTTTTTACAGATCCGCGCGTCTTTCTCGCTCTACATTGGCGTGGCTGAGACGGAGGCCATATTGTTGCAGCCAGTGAAGGTAAAATCCCTTGATCAAATTCTGGGGTTTTCACTATTTCCAGGGACATGTGATGATGATGATGTTTTTAAATTGCTAAAAAGATAAATAATAGTAGTATTTTTAGGCAGTTTTTACAACATATCGTGAACTCAAAAGCTCGTCAAATTTGTATAAAAAATTCCAAAAATGTAAATTTGAAATTTTAAACGCTTTTCTAAGTTTTCTATATTGTTTGGTTGCGTGAACCAAGCTAAATCTTGCGAAAAAGAACATCGATATGGCGTTGCTAGGCATATCTAGACGTATAGGAAAAAAATACTCGACCAAATTCTGTTTTTAGAAGCGCATCGTCGATTTATTCGGTCGGGCGGCCGCGCTGACCGCACGTTGGCTTGGTGAAGAGGGCGTCTCGATCACGGCCATTCCATCGCCACAACACATCCACCTACTCCTCAACAAAGCCTAATCTCCACCTTAATTTCTCCTGTGCCTTTTTTCGGCGCTACTTAAGTTTGCTGGCCCCACTTATATATGGCCAAAAGCTCATTTTACTGGTTCAGTTTTTTGCGCTGATTACGGAAAACACTATCCCAGCCCACGAAAATGCGATTTAGTAAAACAATTTAATTGGAAAGTCGGGAAAATTCCATTTTACGGCGGTCGCGTAAAAGGAGCCTTTTTGTGGTTTTTTAATTAAATAATGGCCAAAAACGGGTTTATCATGAATAAAATAAGCCAGTAGCATTGTCAGGCAAGGCGGGCCGTCGCTTCGGATGGGCTGCCGCTCACTCTTTCGAATCGGGGCGCCTGGCCGCTTCGCGCGCCTCAGTCGCCCCGATTTCCGAAACCCTTTACGAGCTCGCACCCATCCGAAGCGACTAGGGCCCCGGGGTGGCACGAAGCCTTATTTTTAGGAAAAAAAGCGGATGCAATCGCTCAGCCTCGTTGGAAAAAGCTTTTCCACTGTTTTATAGGCCTCCCGCATCAAAACACCGGGTTGATCCCCTTTAAAAACTCAAACCAGAAAAATCGAAAATCGAAGTGTTTTTCTCCCCCTCAAAATTCACGATTTCATTTTCGTGGACTGGGATAGTGTTTTCCGTAATCAGCGCAAAAAACAACCAAAGAAATGAGGATTTGGCCATTGATAAGTGGGGCCAGCAAACTTAAGTAGCGCCCTTTTTTCTTTGGTTACTAGCCTTTTCATGAAAATGTGATAACACTACCCGCAAATGTGATGTTTTTAGGCATTGTGCATAATTTATTGGGGGATTTTTGGGAAGTTGTCCGTACAGAATAAATTTTTCAAAAATACCGTACCTACTGCTTTATCCCGCTAAGAATGACAAAGATATCGAAACACGTTGTAAAATCAAAAAATGAAACCAGTATTGGATTTTTAAAACTAACAGGCTAGTTTTTGCACTTCTTTTATTTTCTTTTCTTAAAATTAATTTTTCTTTTTTCGGTTCTTTAGGATTCCCGGGGAAAGTATTCCGGGAAAACAAATTTTTTCGGCGAAAGCCTAGATTTTTGTATAAATTGCGGATGCGTTTCTAAATTGTTTTTAACTATTCCTGTGCATAAAAACTACACACATTTTAACCAAAAAAAAATGTAAAAAATTAAAAATTAGGTCGAAAAATAGACCCAAAATGACCAAATTTTCGACCTTTTCAAACATTTTTCTAAATTTTTCTGAAAGTTATTCTGCTTTAAATATAGTTAAAACTTACTAAAAACAATTCGAAAACACTTTATATTTGATTACTAGGTCCACCGGGACCACCAGGAAAAAAAAATTGGTTTCCCCGGGAATACTTTCCCCGGAATCCTAAAGGACCCTTTTTTCTTAAATCCAAAGATTTGTTAAAAACTTCATAATTTTTATCCACTTTTTGATTTAAAAAAGTAACAATTTCTGGTAAAATAGTTTGTATTGCATTATTGGGCGCCCACGCTATCATAAACCCTCCCCCGCTAACGAACCAGTACCAACCAAAAATTTCGCTACATTGGTGCAGTAAAAGCTACAAACGCGAATTTCTGGCGATCCAATCCTGATCTGCGGTCTGCGTCTCTTGGTTGAGGCGCTCTCTCAAGAGAGGAGGTCCCGCCGCGATCTCAGGTTTGCAGTCCACCGTCGCCGGGCTACGATGCGGCCAGGATTCCCTTGTGTGTGCGACCCTCTACTTCACTGTACCCTCTTTGTCAGCCGCGAATATCTCCCACTGCGACGGCTGACCCCTAATATGGCATCTCATTCGAGTAGTTCTCAGTTTTGATTGGCTTCTCTGAACTTTATTGACTCAAATTTATCTTTCTTCCTCTAAGGCTCTCTTTAGAAGATAGAAGAAAAAAAATTTGCTAACGAAGTATCTCTTTAGAAGCCTGCGTGCTTTTCGAATCAGGGACCCACCTTTATTGAACAAAACTACGGTTTGTGCCACATTTTCTCGAACATTTCCTATTCATTTTCAATTGCTACAATATCGTTTTTTGGAACGAGCGCGCAAAAATACCCCTAAAAACTGGTTTTTCGAGCAATCAAAATGGGTCCTCTATCGCGAAATAGAACTAATGAGACCCAATATTGTTCCTTTTGATTGTTTTCCAAGAATTTAGTAGATTTTTCGTAAATCTATGTCTTCTTAACACTTCTTCGGCTATTTTTCCTCACTAACTTTTCTTGATTTCAGAACGATGTTGAGAAAGGCGCTGCTCTTGATCGCACTCGGATGCCTGGCTTTTAACTATGGTTCGTTTTCATTCTGTTTTTGGTATATTTCCCATTTGTTAGTGCACTGCGAGGATGCGGCTGACGGTGAAGTCCGTGACGAGGGAGCTCAGGCCGCCCCGGCGGAAGACGAGCACCTGGTACGCTATTTTAATTTTTCTTTATTTTAAAACTGGTTTCTGCCTTCTCATTTAGGTTGGCCCCAGCTCTGATGCCGCCATCTCATTCCTCTTCACCACCCCCGATGGAGCTAACATCAACCGCGGTTCGTACGATTTTTTTTTGATCCTACTGCATCGTTTTCGCCTTGTAAAACTCGATTCTTTTTCAGAACTGATCGGCGGCAAACTTGTCAAGTACCTCATCGGCTTCCGGAACCGCGGCGAGCGCGATTTCACCGTCAAGTTCTCCGAGACGTCGTTCCGTTACCACCAGGACTTCAACTACCACCTCCAGAACGTATTTTAACTCTTGTTTACGGGATACCATTTTTTTAGTTCACCCACGGCCAGTACAACCGCCGCGTTGCCCCGAAAGAGGAGGTCACCGTTGACTACGGCTTCTTTGTCTCCGACCAGTTCGCTGGAAGGCCAATGGGACTCACCGTTAGGCTGCACTACGAGGATGCTGTCAGTTTTCTTTCAAATTTGAGATTAAAAAAAAATTGCTATCTGCTATACTAAATCTATTGTATTTTTGCTATTTTTCGTCATCTAATGCCGCGATACTTTTCAGGATGGCCGTTACTTCATCTCGAACGTCTTCAATGAGACCGTCTCTGTGATTGAAGACGAATCTGGTTTCTCTGGCGAGACCTACTTCCTCTACCTTGTCTTCGCCGGCCTCGCCGTCGCCGCCTATTTCGTTGGACAGCACTACTTTGGAAAGGTATCGATTTTATTATTTACCTTTAGATATTTTTTTTTAGCTGAGCCGCAAGGCCGGTATCACCAAGAAGCGTTCGGCTCCCGTCGAGACTGGCACTTCTTCCCGTTCTGAGGTCGACTACGAATGGATCCCCAGGGACGTCATCAAGGCCGGTAAGTAATTTTGCTCCTATCATTGCAATAATCCTCTTTTTCAGCCGAAAAGAAGTCTCCCAAGCCCGGCTCACCCCAGCAGCGCAAGGCCCAGAAGGCCGGGCCGATAGATAACACCATTACCACCCGCAAGGGCCTCATAATCAACGGTCCGCCGATTGTGATTTTGTTTTATGTCTAGCGAGTTACCTCGCCAACCTTCAAACATCATTCTCTTCTCATTGAGGCTGGGTATTCGTCGTTGTTGTATAGATTTCTTTTTGTCTGCTCATGGGTACACGTTCATTGCTACCGCGCCGGCACCTTGGCGACTTTATTTATGTGTGAGTGGTTCCTCAATTTCCCGCATCGTTGCTTGTTTGATTACCCTTTCCGTGTGGAAAGCACTGAATCGTGAACGGGAAATATAATTTTTAAGCCAACTTCGTGTAAAATCAACTGCACCAAATCCTGAAGTTTTCTCATTAGCAGAAAAACCTGAAAATCTTAGCTCACTATATTTATCATTTCTTTTCATTTTTAGTTTTCGACTTTTACAGGCGCACTGATAGCAATAACCTCACTCCTATAAAGCCCATGCCCTTGCGCCACGTTACCGTACCCGTAAACGCAAGCTGCTCCTTCGGGACCCGAATTTTCGTGGTATTTCGGCTCCTCCCGGTTTATTCAACTTTTAACTTACCGCGATGCTGAAAAACGCGCTTTTCGTCGCTTGTTTTCTATGGCTAGCTTCGAACTATGTTCAGGGCAAATGGTATGATTATGACTTCACCCGTGCTCTAAACATCACGGAAGTTGATGTACGTTTGGTTCGTTTTGTTTCTATTCTTAGACGATTTCTGCTTTATGTTGGGGATCCTGTTCGGACGTCGCCCTCACTTTCCGTCCAGCAGCTACGATGAAGGACATAACATCTCTGGTCCGGCCCTTTCTCTCGCCCGTCACCTAGTTCTACCATTTCAGAACTGTCCCCCGGGCAGCGTATCACGTGCCTCATCGGTTTCCAGAATCGAGGAAATATGGAACTCCGTGTGAAATGGTCCCGATGTCTCGTTCAGCCCCCAAGATAGCGAAACGTTGGGAGCAGTATAATTGCTTTTACGTTTCATTTTCGCGTTTAGGTCAGCAAAATGGAGTACAATGTTCGGGTGCCGCCGAAGGATGAGGTCACCGTTGGAGTATAGTTTCTATGTGCCTACCCGATTTTACGACCAAATGCCCGGACTCAAGATCCGTCTTCACTACAGGGAGGAGGTTAGATCTTGCATATAATTTATATCTGTTGTTTACCGGGGCGACCGGCCAATTCATCTCTGATGTATTGAACGGGACTATCTTTGTCATTGGCAATAACTATGGCTCGTCCGCCCTGACGTACCTCCTCTACGTTGTGGGCATCGGCATGGCGGCTACCATCTGTTTCCTTGTTCAACACTTTGTTAGAAAGGTAAATGTTGTATATTTTCAGAAAGGTTTTTTAGCAACCTAATTCTGCACAAAACCCGGCACCCGTTTATCGTGAATCGCGCCCCAGAGTCCGTCAGGAGTATGTCCCCCAAGCAGCTCTTCGACAAGGATCTAACAAGCAGTGTATGATTTAACGGAGAAGTTAGATCCCCATTCTTTAGCTGAGAAGAGTCCTCTGAGGCCATTCGACGAGGAGTTCCGTATGAAGAGGAAGGAAGCAAACAAATGCTTGTTGTTGAACCTTCAATAATCTATCGTTGTCATTTCTATTTCTTTCTTGGTGAATAGTGCTGGTGTATTTTCTGTGTCTGCTAGGTGTATATACGACCAACCTTATCTTTATCCATTCTCAAATTGTATATATTGTGATATGTTCCTACTTTGCCCTTTACGTGATACGTGATAAAACATGGTGCTACAGAACATCTCGGAGAACTTTACGACTCTAGGTTGAGAACACCTGCGATACCATGTTATTTGTACAGCGTGGGCAAAAAAAAAGTATCCGAGTTTGGCCTGAAATATCTCGCTTATCTTTGAGAATCGAAGGTACGTTACTGGCACGCCAGAATGCTTAAATATGCTGGGCAAAGGGAAGATTTGAATTATTAATCCTGATTTTTCGATTTCTTACATGTACTAATACAATTCACACTCCGGAATGCGCCCCCGGAAAACTTCATTGCATTTTCTCAGTTTCCCGTGGTCGCTGGGTTCTAATTTTTTTCCTATTTAAGTTAATGTCGGTAGTAGATATGCACCCACAAAAATTTAAGAATTTTGAGGTCTAGTTGACAAGTTATAGGGGAATGAAATTTTGTATGGAGAAATTTCGTAAATTTCGAAAATTACAAAAACCTATGGCCAAAACATCAGAATAAGTTGTTGTAGAATAATCCAGTGACCCTATGAAACCGCTTAAATGCCACTTAAAAATTTTCGGGATCGATGAATTTTCGAGTTTTTCAACGACCCCGGGTCGTGGATTTCTTGAGTGTCTCGAAACCGGACTTTGTAAAAATAGCCGATAAATTCGCCAAAAGGGACGCAGCTATTTTTTTACTTAGCTATGTAGGACTGGGGTTTATCCATCATCTCCTAAATCCCGAGCTACCGTACCCCTTTGGAAGGGCGCCTTTTAGGGCCTCCAAAACGGTTGATTCGTGCTTTTTCCAAAACCCGCTAACAATTTTAAATTTTAACAGTGCTATGAAAATTCGTCATTTAAATTTTATCAGATATTATTGGAATAGCGCATCCTAATGCCAAAATTTTGAATTTATTTGACCAGCCGTTGGCGACAAGGGAAATTCATCAAAACCCGAAATAAACCGAATTCGAGGGGGCGTAAAAAATTTTTGGAAGGTGAAATCGCCAGGAACTTCTTGACCAATAAATCTTGTAGTGTTAGTTAAATAAAACTATGCAAAGATTAAAACAATTTAGGGTCGAAAAAATTTTTGTAAGAATTCTCCTCCTCCCATACTGGGGTTTTAGAACAAGGTGATTTTCCAATTTTGGCTGGAAGTCACCATAATTTTGAATCAGATTGCTCCGGAATTCGACGAGCGTAAATAAAAACATCAAATCTTTAATCGTATCCCTAAGATCCAGGTGGTTTTTTTATTTTTAAAAATTCGAAAATTGACCCCGGCTACTGGGACCCAAAATCAAATCGGCTCTCTGGCCTTGTTTTGCACTTGGCCTTTGTAACTTTGTTATTCACCACCAAAACTCAGTAATTTTTGACAGGCTATCTTACAATCAACTCTAGAAGGCTCCTCGACCTGAAAAATGGTCAGTTTATGGAATTTTTTGTGATGGCAGAATAAAAAACGCTCCATCGTGGGTTACGGCAGAAAACCGAAATTTGAGATTTTCGTGGTGTTTTTGCCATGGAATCGCTTCGATCTTTCGGAAAACCAATAGTAGCAGTTTTTGGACCAATTGACCGAAAAATTTACAAAATTCTGCCGCAGAATTAAAAAATCAGTTTTTAGTCTTTTTCATGAACGTTTGTGGATAGTACGCTCTCGTATTTGGCAGCAAGGTGTTCCTACTTATTGCCCTACAACCCAGAAATTTTCAGCCGGACCGAAGCTAGGGGAGCCGGAGAAAAGCGGGAAAAACCAAATCCTACAGTACCCCACTGGGGCAACGTTTTAGCAAGCAATACAAAAATACCATAGATTGTGGTGGGTTCTGGTGAGTGACCCGAGATTAATATTTGGATAAGCCATATTTCCAATAAGCAGCCATGGGCAGTGAGTTAGAAGCGAGTTATCACTTAAAGAAGAAAATAAGGCAAAATCGCGAAAATTGTTTTGTTTCTAAAAATGAAATAGACCTCGAAAAATTCTAAGACTTTACTATTATCTTTCTACAAATTTATACTATTTTTGGGACAAAAATCAGAATTTTTCCCACCACCCGTTCAAGAACGCACAATTTTCGGTCGTAACCAGCGTCAATAGTACAGTTGCGTACCCAAAAACATCGAAAAACAAGTTGTAGTTAAATCTTCATACCCAGCATATTTAAGCATTCTGGGCATGGTAACGTACCTTCGATTCTCAAAGATAAGCGAGATATTTCGACCCAAACTCGAATCTTTTTTTTTTGCCCACCCTGTAGATCGAAAAGGAACTGAGAGCCGGAATTCTCTCTTTGCGTCGAACCACTTTCTTTTGCTGGATGGCCTGATTGTCATCGCGGCGGTATCTAGATCGGAAGAGGCGAAACACCCTCGCAGAATATCGATTGAACGGGCCCCATTCTTTACGCGACATCATTGCACACCTTATAAAAATAGGTCTGGGTTGTTGTCGGACTGGAAAGAGGGTGAAGGGGCGGGGCGGTGTGCCCTTTCTGCTTGTCTCTGCTCTGTGTTGACGGATACGACTGCGCGCCGCTCTTCAGTTCCTAGTCAAATGGCTGCATTCCTTGTCCACCTTATCAAATCAGATTATGCCTTTCTCGCTGTTTTCAATAAAATTAAGCAATTTAGTATTTAAAGTTTGATTTTGCAGATTAGCTGAAATGCCTCCACTCTGGAACAACTCAAGAAGATTACGACAGTTGTAGCCGACTCCGGGGATTTTAACGGTAAATTTTGAATATATTCGGGAATATTCTTTTTAGCAATCGCCCGCTTCCACCCGACCGATGCCACCACGAATCCATCGCTGATCCTGGCGGCCGCCAAAATGGAAGATTATCAACCACTAGTGAAGGAAGCGATCGAATGGGCCAAGGCGAAGGGCGGTGACAAATGCGAGGTAAAAACTTTCTTTATTAAGCTAATGAACTCACTTTTCCTAGATCGTGGGAAATGCGATGGATCGTTTGTTCGTCGTCTTCGCCAAGGAAATCTTGAAGCTCATTCCTGGAAGAGTGTCCGTTGAAGTGGATGCTAGGTGAAGCTTTCTTCGCGACGTAAACATTTTTTAGGCTTTCGTTCGACAAGGCAGCTTCTCTCGAGAAGGCGAAGCGTTTTTATTTCGCTGTTCAAAGATGAGGGCATCGACAAAGAGCGCATCCTGATCAAGGCTGGCCTCCACGTGGGAAGGGATCGAGACGGCGAGGGAGCTGGAGAAGGAGGGAATTCACTGCAATATGACGTTGCTCTTCAATTTCGAACAGGTATTAGAGAATTTGTTTCAATTTGGAGGAACGTACGCATAAGCGCACAGTCGGCGTTGAAAAACCGCCACGAACGGCATAGGCGGTGGATTTTCTAGCCAGATTTTAGATATATTTTCGCGAAAATTACCCCTTTTTAGGCTGTTGCGGGTGCTGAAGCCGGTGCCACGCTCGTCTCGCCATTCGTCGGCCGAATCATGGACTGGTAATGAAATGTTTTTCCTACATATTAAACGCTTACCTTTTAGGGTATCATAAGAATACGGACCAAAAGTCCTTTGACCGTATTTCCGATCCGGGGAGTCAAGGTGCGTCTATTTTTCTAGCATTATTGTGTCTGTCTAGAGCGTGCAACGCATCCCACGTACTACAAGAAATTCGGCTACCCGAGCGCAGGTGATGGCCGCCTCGTTCCGCAACACCGAGCAGATCAAGGGGGCTCGCTGGCTGCGATCTGTTGACCATCAGGTTAGTATCGTTTTTCCGGGTATAAATCTCTTATTAAAAAGACAGTCCGGTCACCCATTTCAAAATCTACGCCTGTATGTTATTTTTGGATTTTGCAGCATAAAGACCAGTTTAAGAAAGGAACGTAAAGCTAAATCAACGCTTTTCTGCTTGTGGTATGTTGTTTTTCAGTCCCCATCACTGCTCAAGGAACTGGACTGGGGATAGTGAAGAGCTGAAGGTCGTACTCAAAAAGAGTAAGGGTGAGTTTATACGTTATGGGTTTTTATAGTTTTTTTCTCAGCTAGCGACGCTTCCGTCGATCGCATCACAGTCAGCGAGGCCGCATATCGCTGGGCCCTGAACGAAGATCCCATGTCCAGCGACAAACTTTCGGAGGGGATCCGCTTCTTTGCCAGGGTATTTTTTGTATCAATTTTTTCGTTAATTCCTTATTCTAGGATGCCCGTCTACTCGAGGAAGTGATCAGAAGCACCTTTGAACCGCTGCCAACAAAATCAATCGGATCCCCCATATCCATTCCCTCTTGTGAGATTGATAGAATTTGTGAATGTGCGTAGCGTAATAAATAATTCAATATATCAAGTTTACATCCGAGATTTGAATCACGGAAGCAAAGCCAAAGAAACTCACAACAGAAGACCTCATTACCCACACAAACCTGGCAGCGGGGCGGTGATGTCGAGTTCCGGCGTGTCGGTGTCGGAATGCGGATTTCGGTTGCGGAATGTGAGGCGAAGGCCTTGGAGAAGCTCCACATCTACAACAATATTAACCCTCGAAACGGATGGCACAGGTGCAAGGATTTCCCTCCCTTACGAATCAACGCCTTTTTAGCTGATTGGTCATGTGGGCATCGTGACGACCGTCAGCAACGACGGCGAGAAAATCACCACCCGATTCCACACCTGTGGCCCAGCCGACGAAGCGGGGCAGACGAAAAGCGTTGGGAAGACCCAGCTGGTAATACTGATATATCGTTGTGCCTGTGGCATTTCAAAAAGGTACGAAGCCTAGCTTGCGCAAAATTTTTCGATGATTAGAATCTACTTTGTAGAACTTGGGAAACGACCGGATTTAAAAGATTAGGTAGTTTTAAAGTGTGCGAAAGGCCGCATTGATCTGAGAAAAAGAGACCGAAATTCGTAGGGCTTCGCCTGTATTTTCGCTCTTGTCGCAGCGTCTATAAGTTCAACAACGATCAACCAAAAAGTTCTGCACTAGATAGGCTTGGTTCCGTGCTGGGCTCAAGTCTAGGAAGCCCCTCAGCCGACTTTTCAACTTTTCTACCTTCCTTATTTTTATTTTTCGCTACTTTTTTCGACTAAACTGCAATGTAGTCTTACTAATTAGCCTACGGCGAACATTTTGGTATACTTTAGAGCTCGCTAGCACAAAAGGGGCCGAGATTCAAAAGTTGGTGCCGGCTGGGGCCTCTAGACTCTTACCCCGTTTTGAATTCTCCAGGCAGCCAATTTCTAGAAAACTAGAAAAAATGGACCTCTTGTCAGAATGCCCTCGACGTGGAATGGTCGACTCGAGCTATCAACCCCTGCCCGAATCCACACTTTTCCCATGGCGATCAATGCGTTTGGGTGAATGTCAATGTAAGTATTGACTAGCGATTCGATAAATGTCTGCTTAGAACATGGAACGCCTCCAAACCGTCACCGTCCAAGATAGTGTCGGTGGTTTGACGCTGATCAGCGCAACTGGGCAACAGCCCTATTTGCCGCTGGAGCAGCTAGAAGATGTGCTGCTGCCGGTCTATGTCGGTATGTCGTTTCGTTTCTGCTGACGTTGCTTGCTAGGAAAAACGCTGAACATGGTGTTGAAGGAGCGCAGTGGGCCAACGGTGCGGAATGACAGGTCGCCACGCCGTCTCATCCATGGACCGTTGCCATCTATCGAGTAGGACGAAATTCGGATAATTTTCACTTTTTTCTTAGCGGATCCGAGTTGCTGGAAGCCGTTCGTCACTACACCCCGACGCGGCGCTCACAGCCACCATGCGATGCACTCAGAAATTCCCGGAACAGGTGATTCCTGTTGTTTAGTTGTGTTAGGTTTCACTTTAGGTGAATATTGCCGTGGAAGACCGTTCGCCCCTTCAATTGGCTGCCGAACCAGGGCAACTGGGCCCGCCTGTGTCGCCCTGATTGCCATGGGTGGCGACCGTGAAGGCCTCGATCCGATGGGCAACACGCTTCTGCATCTTGCCGCCAAGGGGTAGAATGTTGTCAATCAAATTTGGCGCTATCTTTCAAAGTTATGGGAGGTTTTGGGATAGGAAACCGTTTTTTTCCACATGCGTCAAAAAAGGCGTCAAATGCGTCAAAATGAGGAATTTTTGTGGTTTCATCGAAGCTACTGAAAACTATGGAAATACATTAGAAAATGCTTAAAAAATTTAGTACGTACGTACGTCGCCAGCTATGCCCCCACTTATAGTCCAGTACCTCTCGTTTTAGTGGCCATGTCGGCACCGTGGAAGGTCTGCTCCTCTTCATCCCGCAAGAACTCAACCGCCCCAACGGCGACGGCGACACGGCCGTCCATCTCGCCACCTGGGACTCCATGCGGCTTGTGTCGAGCGGTTACTCTCCTCGACCACATTCAGCCAAATATACAGGTGAATCCACCTTGCTCTTTTCTATTCTTTTTAGAATAAGAACGGCGACACTCCACTCCACGTCGTGACTGAATGCCAGAAAGCGAGAACAAACGAGTATGGTTTTGATCCCGCTGTCTTTATCTCTCCTTTTAGGCCATCCTGGGCCGCCTATTGTCGTGCATCCGCGTCACCGTCCACCTTCGCAACGTCGACGATCTGACGGCCCTGCAGAACGGCATCGTCAAGGGATATCACGCGTTTGTTCAGTTTTCCAATGTGAAATTTTTTCCAGTTCTACGATGGAATTCCTGCAAGCTCGCCCTGCCCTCCTCCCCGGCACTATGGGGACGACGGCCATCTGCCCGACGGCTATGTTGCTCCCGCTTCACCCGCCGCCCTCTTCGCCCGTCGTCGTATCCTTGAGAGCATCATTGAGGTATCGCCTTGGAAAGAAGACCGTTCTTTTTTCCCGGAATTTTTCTTGTTCTTTCGGCAATGTTCGGGGAGGGGGCAACTTTTCTCTCTAGGGATCCAAATTGGTTTAATTTAAATAGCTGCCATGTTTTTAAAGTTTTCTTTTTACGAATTCCCAAACGTAAAACTGTAAAAAATGCTATTAAAAACACCAAAATTATCTGTTTTCCGGGTCAAAATGGCTGATTTCTGACAAAAATTTTAGATTTTCGTCTTTTCGTTTTTAGCTAGTTTTTTTAGTTAAAATGTGCTAGCTTTTATTAAAGACAAAAGCTTCTATTTTAGTTGGGCGTTGATAATAACCATGCCTCACGCGGCGGTCGTATTCCTCTACATTTCTCGGTGCTCATCTCATCCGGCTCGGCTGACCGCATCCTCGAGCGGCTGGCCTGTATTCAAGTCCGTGGTGTTTCGGGACTTTACTCAAGCTCATTTAGGCGCTGATCAACGCTGGCTGCAACCTGAACATCCCGGACGTCGATGGGGCCACCCTGCTGCACCTTAATCGTCAAGGAGTTTAACAACATGCCGCAGGTACCTTTTATCTCGGCCCTTCAATTCAATACATATGACTTCAGCCTTGAATTCAAAGAGTACCTGTTTCTTTTCTCTCTCTCTCTCTCTCTCTCTCTCTCTCTCTCTCTCGTTTCTCCCTCCCTCCGCTCGACGTTTTAGTCGAAACCTTCCTTTTAAAAAAGTGTGTTGTATTGAACGGAATATACCGAAAATTGTGTGATATAACTAATTTTCTCGAACCTGTAATTGGACGCTTATTTTTACAGATTTTAATCGTATTATAGAAATTCCACTGAATTAATCACGTAACATTTCCAATTTAAATAGATGCCGTACCAAACTCCTTTTAGTACTTTGGCTGACTGTCACCACTAGGCAATTTATTGCAAAAACCATTTTTCACGGCTTTGTTCTTTTAATGAAGCATCTAATTAACGATCTATTTCCGCTGTGGAATGTATCATAGACTAGACTATAATTGAATAAAAACAGCATAATTTTCAGCTTTCTATTTAGCATAAATTCAGCATTTGTAGCATAATTTTTCGCTTTCTAACGAAAGATCATTAGGTTATCAGCGCTGCCCACTGGTACGCATTTTAGTGGAACGTTTTTTCCTGGTTGTAATTTTTCGAAGGACAAGGATCCTATCCTATAAGCGAGAAAAGTATGTTTGTTTTCTGTACGGCCGTTTTCTCGGCCGTCAGGCCGAGTTTCGAGCTGTTTTTGGCATGGGGTGGGAAATGCCATTCATAAGAAACGGTTTTTTGGATTTTTCGAAATTCTTTGATTTAACGATTTTACAAACAAAAATGTGAAAAATCCTTAACATTTTTGGGTGCTAACGTTGTCCGGAACTTTTCTCGGCCCCTAGAGGGAATTGGTGCCTCATTTTTGGAGCTTGGATGGGAAAAATAATTCCCCAGATACATTTTTTCGGATTTTGCAAAAATTTTTAAAGTAAAGTTTTTATAAGGGTTTTTCTGAAAGGTCCTTAATAAATCGCGGAACGAGCCGTGGTGTCCGGGCCATAACTCGAAACCCTGATGGAATTCCGGAATTGAAATTTGGCCCGTTTATGCAATCAAAGGTGGGGATCATGCGCATCTTATTATCTTTACACATTTTCCACAGATTCGGACTAAAAAAATCGAAGTTTGTAAAGTGACCAGAAGGCCTCCCTCCGGATCATTGGACACCCTTATCTTTGCCACCGCCTCGCCAGCACTGAACAGACCTTTCCCGCCGCCTCTTCCCATGTACCCCTTGGTGTAGTGGATTAGCGCCGGTCTACCACGCGCTGGGTCTTGAGTTCGGATCCTGGGAGAATTTAATTTTTTGCTTTTTGGTAGTTCAGCAACAAAATATATTTATAGGCTCTAGGTGTACGAGCTTTAGGCCTGGCTCACGCTCTAGCGCCGCAGGCCTAAGGAAAGGTCTTCGGCCCGGGTTCTCGCGCCGCAGGCCAAGAATGGGTCCTTGATCCGGGCTCTCGCGCCGCAGACCAAATCCTGGAGAAAAACCAGTAACTAGCGCCGCAAGGCTCAAAGATTCTAGCGGAACGCTGGCTCTGGCGCCGCAGGCCAAAGAATAGCTCCTTGACCCAGGTTCTAACGCCGCAGGCGAAAAAGAAGGTATTCAAATTCATGGTTCCTGGACTGGGTCCAGTGGAAAATGGCTGCGAAGCGGTCTTTTTCCACTGGTAGTGTAATAAGGCATATCAAAACGTATCAAAAACGAATTCTCCAATCACAAACTTAAATGAGTAAGCTTATTGGATTTAGCTAAAACTTATTGTCATATTTAAAAAATATTTAGTTGAGTTGGAAATGAGATATTACATATAAAATCAATTGGTCATAAACCTATTTTAATATTTCAATTTTTTTGTCATTATATTAAAGCAAGATATTACATATAAAATCAATAGAATAATATAAAATTTCCTATAAATATATTCAATTTATAGTTTAAAACTTTAATTCCAGGTCTCCGCGGGAAGCGTGCCTACCTGCGCGGCTTCGGCGCAAAGGGGCTGCGCGGCAAGCGATTTCACGCTTAAAATGGAAAGATAAAAATTCAATTATTTGGATGAAATTTAAATGTTTAAAAATTCAAGCTCAACCCCCGGCCGCGGCACTCGGCATTTTCTGGATCATATTGTTTAGCTGGATGTTGTACAGTACCCCCGATGGCTGTCATTTGGTGTCACTCGGAATTTTTAGCGGCACGCACACGCACTTCCTATCTCTCCCTTCTCTAGTCCCTCTCCGTTTTCGTATTCTCTCGCCCCTCCCCCTGTCGTCTCCACTCCCCGGTTTTCCACAGCGTTTCCCTCGGAATAAAACGTTTTGTTGTATACAATGGAGAAACGAACGATAAGTCAAGCCTAAGTCTAAGACTAAGCCTAAGCCTACGCATAACTTATGCCTAGGCCTACGCCTGAGCCAAGCCTTAGCCAAGCCTAAGCAGAAGCCTACTAAGCGACGCCAAGCCTAAGCCAAGCCTAACAAGCCAACAATTTCCGGTATTTTGAAAAATATGTTTCAATGCACACAGATTTAAAAATTGCTTTGTTTTGCCAATTTGCACGGCTTCTTAGTTCCGACAAGGCTACCTTTTTAAAATAGTATTTAAATTAGCTGTAAATTTATTGCATATATTATGCAAATTTTTTAGGCTTCAGCGGCAAGCAGCTGCAGCGCACGGCTCATCCCCGATTGCATTTCGTTCAAATTCTCCATCGTATCGCCGGCCGGTCGGCGGCCGATCACCCCTAAAATTACATAAAATTAAATAAAATTCAATAGTTTACATAATTTAGAATATTCAATTAAAATTCAAAATGTTGATCTGAATTTATTAAGCGCAGTTATTTAAATAAATTAACAACTTTTTAATGATCGACTTTATTATAACTGACGCGTCTCATCAAATCTGTTAATTTGCCAAGTAGTGAAACATATTTTCCTAGTTTCTGTCTCTTTCTTTGTAAAATCAACACTGGCGAGATTAAATAGAAGTTGAGTAGCTAGTAATTGATTAGTTTAATTTAAAGTTTTTAATTGCTTAGCTATTTTATAGGATTTATTCTATAAACCAATTGAATTTGCGTTTAATTAATCATTAATGATTAATAGACCATTAATTATAATGAATCAATATAATAAGTTAATACAACTAAGTGTTAGATAAATATGAGTTTAAACGCGTTAAATCAAAGTTCGGAGAAGGAAAGTTGGTTGGATTGCGATAATGAGGCTAAAAAAGGTTAGCTTTCTGGCTGAAACATCATTTTTTTTAATTTTTAGTGTTTTCGAGACGCTTTTTTAAGCCATAAATAAACAAAAGCCCTTTAAACATAAGCTTGCACATTTACAGGGTGTACCAAAAAAAAGTACCCCCCCTCTAGCGGCGCGCAGACGTGTTCGATTCACGCCGTTTAGGTATCTATCGAAAGCTCTCGAAAAGGCGAGAAAACATGGAGGGTTCATTTTCTTTATTATGTATTTTTATTGGCAAATTTTACCTCCAAAATCCATGAAAACGGCAGATTTACACGAGACCCGCATGCCAACTGCGGAATTCCTATTGAAAATATGCCTGTTTTTTAGAAAAACGCTGAATATCGGACGAATCAGAAGACATCTTAGATAATGAAGCCCGCTTGTTTTCTCGCCTTTTCGCGGGCGTTCGAATGGTATAAAAATCATCCTGATCTGAGCTTCCCACGGACCGCTAGAGGGGGGTGCTTTTTTTTGGGACACCCAGTATTTTGTAACAAATTTACCCCGAAAACGCAGCGCCAAGCTGTTCTCCAGCTCGTCGTAGACCTCGCCGCTCAACTCATCCAGCACGCGGCGCATCTCTTTCTGAAAAATAATAACTTGCTGAAGGTTTTTTTAATCCATAAGTCCTAGCATTAAACTACGCAGTTTTACCGAATATCAATAGTTGAAATCAGTAATTAATTTATTGTTTTAATTTGCAACTAGGTCGTCGTCTTATTATTTTTCGAATTATGTAAAAACTGATCAACGTTTTTTGAAACATTGACTTTACAAATCGGCATAGTTACTTGTAGTGTCGACACCGGCAAAAAATTACAAAAATTTAATGTTTCAAAATTGTACAAAATCCAAACCACAAATTTTGCTTAATTCGGATTTTGGTAGGCACTAACGGATATCCTACTATCCTACTACCAGGGTTGAAAAGCCGCTTCGCGACTTTTCAACCCTGGACCCGTCTTGGACCCTATGCTATTCCGCCCTTTTCATAATTGTCCTGCATTCAGAAGGCAAAAATGAAAACAACCCCGTCGGCCTCTTTATATAGACGACCGCCCACTTCCGGTCTATGCTAATTCCTTCATAATGCGAGGGTTTTACAAAACCTAAATTCCCATTAGCGAAAATGGCTAATTTTTCAAAATCTGATATGTGTGCAGTCATCCCTAGACCATTACGCACCTAATGATGTATCATACGTAGCCTAATACCCGTCCCTTCTTGAGAGATCCTCCGGACAGACAGACGGAAGTGGATGCAAAGTATCATCACACACACACACACACACAGACACTATTTTTTTATATATAGTAGGATCCTACTATATAAAAAAAATAGTGTCTGTGTGTGTGTGTGTGTGTATATTTGCATGCACTTCCGTTTGGATGTTCCGCACCTACAGCCTCAGGGAAGCATTTTTTCGGTAGGGAAGAAACGTCATAGGGTAAAGGAGGGGCTGGAATCGACTGCACCCACATAAAATCTTTGAAAAGTTGCTATTTTCGCTATTAAAATTAGGTTTTTGTAAAATCTTGGCTTTCCTCTTTGTTAGGGAAAATTAGCATACGCCGGAAGTGGAAACGGATTATAAAAAGGAAGGGAGGACGTGGTTTTCATTTTTGGTCATCGGTTTTGGGCAAGAATTATGCAAAGTTTCATAGATCCTAGACGGGGACCAGGGTTTAAAAGCCGCGAAGCGGTTTTTCAACCCTGGTCGTTTACATAATATGGTTTTAGTAAAATATTTAGTATTCTAAAATTACTATTGAATCATCTTAATTGAATATTACAATCGGTTGTCCTCGTATTTTGAGTTTATTTTTATCAAAATTGAAATTAATTTAAAAACGGGCTAACGTTGTTTCGTAACATAACGAAAATCAAGAATCGTCCAAAGATTTAATGTTTCAAAAATATATACTAAATCCTAAACTAAAACTGCGAATTTTGCTTAATTCTCGTTTGATGGCGACCGAGTTACCTGATATCGATTAAAAACGAGCAGCCAGTCGATGCGGTGCTCCTTGATGTTGGCCCGGTCGACGTTGTATCTGAATTCAATAATGAAGGGTGCTTAAAATTAAAATTTATTGTATTTGATGAAGAAACCAACTTCAACAGGCGTTCCGTGGTGATCATCTCCAGGTCGAGGGCGATTAAAGACGGGCGGATACGGGACTGAAAACCCAATTTTTTCCAAGAGGGTGAGAGAGCGAGAGAAAGATAGAGAGAGAGAGAGCGAGAGAGCGAGAGAGACACACACATACACACACAGCGAGTAAACCAACATTCAACTCCTCCAGCAAATCCTCGGCTTTTTCCCTCATCTTCAGCGCGTCCAGCGAGAAGTCGTTGATCAGCGCCACAATGGTGTTTAGCTACAAAAAATAAAAATATTTCTGAAACCTATACCTTTTTGGCGACATTCTGCAAGCTGGCCAGCAGCTCGCGTTTTTCGACGATACGCTCCTCGGGGAGGAAATCCGGCGGGACCGGGGTTAACTGAAGAATTTATCAAATACATACAATTAAGACTTTTCAAATAATTAATTACGATAATTTCAAGCAACAAAAATGTTTAAAGAATTAAAAACCTTATTTGATCCATTTGAACCAAAGCGCGCCAAAATTAGGGTGTTTTAAAAATCTAATCTATTAGAAAAATCGAGATCAACGATGTTCCTAATTTCCTTATTTTATTTCTAATTTTTTTTTCTGAAATGGTAGGTTAAAAATGCGATTTCGAAGAGGCATTAAAGCACTTTGGACATTTTACATACCAATTTTTTTGAAACATTTTTTCTATGAGAATAACTTTTTAAAACCGATATTTATTTTCATTAATTTTTATATTCATTGTTTAAAGCTATAATTGGATTTGTACGAATTTTTAAAGCTATAAATTCATGTTTGCCCAACCTGCTCTCGGATGTCCTCGCCAAAATCCGGATCCGGATCCGTGCCACTGATCGGGATCGAGCAGTCCGACTGCAGGGAGCTGAGGCTCTGGATTTGAACGATTAAATAAAGTATCCGATTTTTATACGTTTTAAAGTTATATCTTTAGCTAATGCATAGAAGGTTAATAAAAACGAAATCACCTGTGAAGGGGATTCGCACCTGTAGGCGGTTTGGTGGGTGCCGAGACGGCGAAACATCTATAAATTATCAAGAATTCAAACTTACTAAAATCATAATAATAAAGTTCAAGTGTATTGTGTAAAACAAAGGTCTGTAAGAACAAAACAATACTAAGAAAGCAAAATTAATCGCGTCAAAGGGAAACAATATACAAAAATAAATCATGAATTAAAAAAATCAGGATTCCGTGGGGGGACAGATATTTAAGAACCTCATAAATTAATCTTTTTCTTCATAAAAATAGAAATATTACGCTCGATAACGGAACGCAAAAATTTTAAATGAATAAATATACATCACATGGGTGGCCAAATTTGCAAAAAAAAAATATGTTCTAACCTGCCTTGGTAAAGAAACCTTCTTCGCGGTAATTAATAGTTGGGTTTTGGTTCCATGAAAAACTAAAATCCAGTCTTTAAAGAAATGGATATGATAATTTTATAGTTTTCTACACCTCGTGTCAGCTCGTGTTTCCGAGGTCTAAAATCGCATGATTTCACCAGGAACCGAGGGAAAGGGAGGAGGGAAATTAGGGGGAGCTGAAAAAGTAGGGCATCAGATATTTGGAGGGAAGAAAACGACAAAAGAAAAGCTGTATGGAAAAGGGGCAGACCGGGAATCGAATACTGGAAGTCATTAAGATAGAAGATTAAAGAAAAAAAGTAGAAACCTGAAAAATTTAAAACCTTGTGGAAAAGTGTTTCGAAAATTTTAAGATTTAGCGTCGTTTTCCTCGACATATTCGACGGCGGGTGGTTCAAGCGAAGAAAGCTAAAAACAAAGGCAGGCTAGCAGAGATTGTTGAGGAAGAGGGGAGGGCAGGCTAGCAGAGATTGTTGAGGAAGAGGAGAGGGCAGGCTAGCGGTGAGATTGTTCGAGGAAGAGGAGAGGGCAGGCTAGCAGAGATTGTTGAGGAAGAGGAGAGGGCAGGCTAGCAGAGATTGTTGAGGAAGAGGAGAGGGCAGGCTAGCAGAGATTGTTGAGGAAGAGGAGAGGGCAGGCTAGCAGAGAATGTTGAGGAAGAGGAGAGGGCAGGCTAGCAGAGATTGTTGAGGAAGAGGAGAGGGCAGGCTAGCAGAGATTGTTGAGGAAGAGGAGAGGGCAGGCTAGCAGAGATTGTTGAGGAAGTGGGCAGAAATTTTGGAATAATTGGCAAGCCGAATGGGGGAAAAAGCCGGCTTTGGAGGATGGGCTTAAATCAGAAAGAAACGCGGCTTATCACCCTGCGAAATGAGCGGTTTGGGGGATGGGGGTTGCCTTGCCGATCTCTTTAGGGACTGGATTTGGGATGTTGGTGAGCTAGTGTCTTTTCGATTCTATCCCCCCCTCACCGACTAGCCGATCACACTGCCATTGCCCCAGGGGTGCATTGAAATGTGACTTTGGAAAGGTTCGAAAAATGGTGTTTCAAGACATGTTAAAAAATTAATTGTTGACGGAGCCATAATTTGAAGTTCATAGTGTGATCATAACCGATAATACTGGTGATCCATCATCTTTACTTACTATACTTTTCGGAGCGCTTATTTGGGAAAATTAACTAGCTAATGATAGCAACAATTATCGAAAATTGTATGAAGCCCTATAAAAAATGTTTTAAATCATAAAATCCATAACTTAAAAAATAATGCTTTTATTAATATGTATCTAAAAATTTGGAAATGTGAAAAATTACCAGCACGAGCGTCGCTACAAACAGCACGAAAATAATAAGATTATATGAAAAATATATGTAATTTTTAATAGAATTTAATAGCCGTCGTAATTTTCAAACTGATAACGAAACATGCCGAAGATCACGACTGGTTGCGAATAATAGCCAAACATTACTAGCTCTGGTTGAAACATGCTCATAAAAATAAATAAAAAATTAAACGAAAACGGCGAATTTATTAGAATTTTTAGTTATACGTTATATTAGAATTTATTATTATTATTTAATTGTTATTTATTTAAATCAATAAAATCGATTAAATGGTATTGAAAGCTCTATAAAAGTGGCTGCGTCATTATCTATGCGATCACGGATCATCGGGAATATATCCGATCGGGAGGAAACCCGTATTTTGCACGCGGGCCAACGCGCGCCGCGCGTGTGTGATCCAAACGATAACAACCCCCGAGAAGCAGCTTTTTCTGCAAACCGCACATCGGGTTTTTCGACCCCATAATTACGGTGGTATCCGAATTAATGGAGCTCCAAAATCGTCAAAATCCAAATTAAACATATCAAATAAATTTTTAAGAATAGACCTTTTTTGAAACATGTTTCTGAGTAGCCATTAGCCATTTGGAGGCCTCTTTTTCTGCAAGCCTTCGAATCTGGTTTTTCACCCCCCATAATTACGGTGGTATGCAAATTAATGGACGCTGAAAAGTTACGAGATTTACCACAGGAAGGAAACTGGAACCAATGCAAACCGAAGTACTTGAAATTTGTATTTTTACGAAACACTTTAAATTTTTATGCGACTATTTCTGTTGTTTTATACACATCATCAGTGTAAAAAATTTCCAAAAGTGCTGAAAATAGACCATTTTCCCAAGATGTTTTTTTAATCGACTATCATAATTATTTGAATTTAGCTATACGTTGCAAGTATGAGAGGAATTTAGATAATTAAGGAAAGTAAAGTTAGAAAATTTGGGTCGCTAAACCGTTATTTTTGTTTTTTTTTAACAAAAATTCTGTATTTTTACGTTTAGGAATAGTAACAACATTTTAGGACCCTATCTCCACTTACATTAAAAGAATCGAATTCTAAGAAAAAACTGTGGCTTGCGATACACCCTTCCCCAGATAATGGGAAAGCTCCAAATTCACCAAAATGGACGAATATCATCAAAACTTTCAGCTATCTTCAAAGTCCCGAAAAAAATAGTTTCTGGCTTGCTGGTCCCTTTAAAATGTATTTTTCAGATTTTCTCTTCTTGACTACGATACTTTCCGTGCGGGACAGACAAGCGGATCCACCGGGGATTTTGGGGCAAAATCATCAAATCCATAAGGATAAGCCTGAAATCCGGGGCCCAGCCATTAATATCGCTGGATCGGAAAATCCGGGCGACTCACCACTGCTCGGTGAAAGATATCATTTTCACACGATTTCGTATAGTCCAAGCATTTATTTATATTATTTTCATAATAGAATAGAAATAGAAAACTCCGGAAGAATAGATGTTTCATTATGTGTTATGGTAACGCGGTACAAGGATGCACAATGTTAAATCGACCCTGGTTCAAAAAATTACGATCTTGTTGTGATTTCGCATTGTATTATAAAAATAATAAATAAAATAAAAAATAGAAAAGCAAAAGGAAATATTGCTGAGCAAAATAAGTGTTTCATCTGAGTTAAAAAAATATATGGCAAATATCGCCCTAATTCAGTGATGACCCAGCCATTTATTCTTGTGCCCTTTTTTGCATAAAAAATCCTATGTTATAACTAAAAAAAGCTTGCATTAAAGCAATAAATATTTCACCCTTAGTTTTAGATTGTTTTATGTTATTTATGGTCAAAAATGGTAAAAAAAAAGTAAATTGTATAGGCTTTTAAATCAGGCTTAGTATCCTATATTGTTTGTTTGTTTGTTATTTGTTTTCTGTAATGACGATTTCTCGGCCGTCAGGCCGAATTTCGCGCTGATTTTTGGCATGGAGGTGGAGAAACGCATTTGCCAGACACGCATTTTTTTGTTTTTCGAAATTCCTTCATTTAACAATTTTATAAGCAAAATGGTGAAAATCCTTAACAAAATGGGCTACGAGCCATGGTGTCCGGGCCATAACTCGAAGGCCTGATGGAATTTCGGGCTGAAATTTGGACCACCTATGTATTCGATAGTGGGGATCACGCGCATCTTATTATTTTTACAAATTTTCGGCGCATGCAAACTAAAAAAAGCGATTTTGCGAAATTACTAGAAGTCCTCCCGCCCGGGTTATACGGCGCGCCAGGACCGAAGAGGCCTTCTCGCGGTACCGCGACACTTGCGGCGCGGACACTTGCGTCGCGACACTTGCGGCGCGACACTTGCGGCTGCGACACTTGCGGCGCGACATTTGCGGCGCGACACTTGCGCCCGACACTTGCGGCGCGACCTTGCGGTTAGTTAGTATAAGCTATATAAAAATAGTTCAAGGTGTTATTTTATAAGCTGCGTCCGAATTTCGTATTAAAAACGTTGTAAGAAGTCGGGTTTGCGACAGAAGTCACTCAATTTGGAGGGAAAGTGGCTGCTACTTCCTCCGCTCTGCGACTAGAAAAAGGCTTCGTGCCACCCGGGGCCTAGTCGCTTCGGATGGGTGCGAGCTCGTACAGTGTTTCTAAATCGGGGCGCCCGAGGAGCGCGCGAAGCGCCCAGGCGCCCTGATTTAGAAAGAGTGGAGCGGCAGCCCATCCGAAGCGACGGCCCACCTTGCCTGACGCCCTCAGGGGCATTCCGACTGCGGGTCGTTTAAATTGCTAATTTTGAACACAAATACAACAATTACAAACAAAATCCGCGAAGAAATGCCAAATTTACAACATTTTAAAATAATAAATACTGCGCCGCAAGTGTCGGGCGCAAGTGTCGCGCCGCAAGTGTCGCGCCGCAAATGACCGCGCCGCAAGTGTCGGCCGCAAGTGTCGCGCCGCAAGTGTCGCGCCGCAAATGTCGCGCCGCAAGTGTCGCGCCGCAAGTGTCCGCGCCGCAAGTGTCGGGGAGCCCTTCTCGCATCCCGTCCCCATGCTCCCTTTGGTATAGTGGCTTGACGCTCGGTCTACCACGCACATGGTCGAGGGTTCGGATCTTCAGCAAATTTACCTTTTTGCTTTTTTGATAGTCCAACAACAAAACATATTTCGAGGCTCTCGGTATCCGAAATTTAGGCCAGTCCCCCGCTCTAGCGCCGCAGGCCAAACAATAGGTCCTTGGCCTAGGCTCTCGATGCTGAAGAAAAACCGGCTAAATTTCACTTTACGGTAACTAAATAAAATGTCGATTTTTCGATTGGAATCGATAGATCTCG